CTACGACTCAATTTGGTAATGAAACTACCACAAAAATGCCGGACCACGCCCACGTAGATGCATGGAGATACATGGAAGAGCAATTGGAGAACGAAACACATATACGGACTGCCAAACTACAACTGAACTCGGCTTGATGAACTGACGTATGAGTCCGAATCAGTATTTTGACCACTTGCCCCCTTGCTTCTCCTCGCTCCTCATTCGAAAGTGGAGGCACCCGGACAAGATGGACCGACTGAAATATGCAATGGACAGCCGAAGAAGCAGTGGCACAAACGCACTGCAAGGGGACCCCAGAAAAACAGTGGGAAAAGCCTGGCCAAAGGCAAAAGGAGCTGAGGGGCTGGAGGGGAGATGGGTCCTGTCAAGAGGATATTTTCATTTGCTGCAAGAGAGAAAAGAGGTTTTTTGAGAGGGTGTTGCAAATACATATAGTTCCACCCGCACATAAGGATTCCTGGCGATGGTCTCTGCCTGGGTAATTGCAAAATGTAATTGAGGTGCTCATCCATGGCCGTCCGTCCTCGTCACTTCATCTGATTGATGGCAGCCACAAAATTAAAGATCTTACTCTCGCTTTGGCTCCTGCTCTTTTCAAAAACTTAATCATATTTACAGAAAATATAACAAATATTTTGTATATACATCCAAAGGGTTTCCCCCTTTCCTTCAGCAAGAATTAAATTAATTAGTTTAATTGATTGATGGCAGCCACAAAATAAAAGAGTTTGCCTTTCGGTAGGCTAGGATATATTGCTAAAATATTTTTGAGAGTATCAATCAGTTCTGTATAATTTATTATCCGCCTCACCGTGGTGGCTCATTTAAATTATTAAATTGGCAGCCTGGGAAAACTTTTAATTTCATTTCAGCTCATTGAGGCCATTTCGCTTTTCTTGATCCCTTTTTCGTGTTTTCCTTCCGCTTGGGTTAGACTTTTTTAACAGCTTTCGGGACCACCTTTGGCTGAAATTTCAATTAAAAGCGTTTGAGGAAAAGGCCAAATGATAGCACTTGATAAATTTCAATGGCCAAAAGCAACCCGACAAAATTATAAATCAAAGTGGAAGCGCTCCAGAAAGGCAAACAGAGATATAGATATAGCGGGCAGTTCAAGTGGCGATAAACAACTTAAAAGGTCGTGAACAGAATTTGAATAGAACTCGCAGTTCGGCGGGTTTTATTTTATTTTAATGCCAACTTTATTTGCTTTGGGCGGCCTCTTTCCCGGAAAACTTTTCATTTTGTTGCAGTTTTTTCATAGCAGTTTTCCCATGGCACAATTAGTTTGGAAATTTTATTCGATTTCCCCCATTGATGGATTCACTGAGAAATTAATTTGGTTTGCGGCTGCTTTGCTGAAAAACTTTTCCTTTTTCCAATTTAGCTCAATTTTTGAGCTCATTATCCGCTTCTGGTAACCTTTTGAAGTGGGGAGTTTCTTAGGGGTATTTTTTTCATGGTAAAAGTTTTAATAGATTTATAAGAGTTTAAGAAAAGTTCTGTTTGCCCAATTTTTTCGACCTTTCTTTCGGAATTCTCTATTTGTTTGCATAGGCTGGACTTGGACTGAAGTTTAGTTTCAAGGTAAAACAAGTGGTATCAACTATTGCAATGTTTGGCCATTTGGCTGTTCAACTATTAAATTCAATTTAAATTCAATTAGAATTTCTAACCGAGTTTTAGACCCGCTGATTGTGGTTGTTTAAGTGGGCCGAAAAAGTCGGTGACCAACAAAGAAAATAGCAAATTTTATTTGTTTTAACAACGAAAAACAATACGGGTGCTAATGTTATTTGGGTTCGTTTGTTATACACTGGCAATAACAATAGTTATACCAAACAAAAACAATAATAGAAACAGCCAAAATTTGACTATCAATACAAGCGAATATTCTGCATAGATAGCAGCTACCCAGTAAGTATGTCTAGAAGAGTTTATAAAGTTCGTAAAAATATAGGTTCTGATCGGATTTTATTTACACTTTAAGCTGAAATATTCTGTGTATTCACAATAGTAAGAGATCCGCCAATTAAATAAAAGTCTTTATAATTTAAAATTTATAAATATTTTCTTAAAAGTAAATATGAACACAAAAATAGCTTCCGCTGTGGGAAAATGAAGGAGATATGTAGTCCCTCGATATATTTGATTTCAAACTCGGTCATAAATACAGGGTATCTTTGGGTCCTTAAATCCAGTTTCACGTTTTGTCTGTTTTTCCCGATATTAATGCACAGATAACGGCAGCGTGTTAGTGGGGTCTGTCTGTGTCTGTTGGTCTGCTGGTGATAACAATGTCGATTTAATTACATTTTATTGACTCCGATGCGCGGCCAGAGGAGGAGCGGAGTTCGCCGGCGGCTAACGTGCGCGTCATCGTCATAAGCTCTTATCAAATAACAGAAGCACATTATGCCATAATAAAGATATATTCACCCATACACAGATACTTCTGCCCGATTGTTGTTGCAGTTTAATTACACTTTCATTCTGAGCTTTTCTCTGCGATATTCTGATGAACTTAATTTATTTCTTTTCACAAGTATTTATGTTTTCTGATTGAAGTTGGTCAATAAGGGTGAAGGCGTGGCCTTTATTTAAAACAAAAATAATACCATTCGTTGGAATGGGAAAATCGTTTCATATATTTTTGTTCAGCAACACAAGGCAATCAAAGGGACATGATAATAAGTGTTAAGCTTGTTAAATTTTACGAGTTTTATTATAATTATAGCAGATTATAGCAGATAAACTATGTATGGATATTTTTGTTGATGTTGTTTGGGAAATATTGTTGGTGTTAAGTATACAATTACTGACACGATTTAATTTAGTAATTGGAAAATAAAATAAAAATATATTTACAGGTTATCCAATCTCAAACTCATTAATAACTTAAAGTAAATAATTTGAAATAATATGTGTCTGTAGTAAATAAAAACAGATTCTGACTAAGTTTATATAATTGTCAATAGTTAATTTTTTATAAAAGTAGAAAGAGATAGAAATTAAATTATTTTTGTATGCCAGAGCATCAGAATTTCGACTTATTCGACCTATTCCTCGGACTTAGATAGTTACTATATTATGCGTCCATGGTTGCTTGCTGCTGTAAGTTGTTTTTGTTGTTCCCTCTATTGTTGGCAATAAGCACGTAATTACTCACACAAGCAAAGCCAAGTGCACGGACACATAGATGGACGCAGAACGACCACAAATACAAACACATTATGTAATTACATTTAATTATCTGCATTGAGTTTGCGGTCTCCAAAGGCGATCTCCCTATGCTTTTCCTCTGCAGTAGCACCCTCTGTAGTAATATATTAATTTAGTCCTTTCTTGTCTTGCTACTGTTGCCTTGTTGAAACAGGAGAAAAATGCCCCACATCTGATGTTTCCTCCCACCCAGAAATTTCCCACAGTGAAATATTTGGCAGTGTGCCCCTGGAAGTATGCTACATTTCACTCTGACAGCCCCTGCAGGGAAACTTTCACTTCACAGTTGCACTATCGGCCCCAAGAATTCAGAATCCCATCTGCTTTTATGAGTGCAGCACACACGGAGGGGAACTCTCTAGTCCTTCATCCTTTCCTTGACAAATTTGGCGAACCATTTCGCTGGCACATAAAGGCTCGTCCTGCCAATATATGCCAACCACCTACATAATGCATTTGGGTACAGTGTGGGAAAATTTTGGCTAAAGCATGATCAAATTTAACGAGAGACGTTATAATCTTTAACATAGCTTTAATTTTGTGTAGTATACGTTATGGATATTTAATAAAAACTTCGGAACTAATGACAGATATATAATATATAGACAAAGATATAGTTAATGTTGTTTAATAATAAAATAAAATAAAATAATTTATGAATGGAACCCTAGATCCTGATTTCTTTAAATATTTCGATTCTGATTATATATTTTCTTCATATCATTTAGATAATTCAACTTAATCTTGATGGTTCAGCTTGAGTATTTTTTTTATGTCGTTCACTGTAAGTGAAGGACTTTTATGACATTTCATATGAGACTTGGTGGGTCTTTCCCCCCTTTCTTCCGCCTCATCCATTCTTCGTCACAAATAGCAAGACATGCGGAACAAAAGCAAAAATCTACTTGGATAGGTCTTTAAGGCTTTGCTTCTTCGTCTTGGCCGCCTTGTCTGCGGAGTGTTTGCTCTTTAATATTATATGTCCTTTGGCATATTTTGATTTAACAAGATTTTTTCCTAAGCCCGGACTTAAGCTCATTGTCAGAGAGATATTTATTTTTTTTTTTTTATTTAAAAGAGATTTGCAAAGCGTTTAATGAAATTTCTGTTTAATGGAATAAAACATTTTCTTTGAGTTTAAGTGTCAGTTCTAAAAATCTACTTAGTATCTGAAGTAATAATGTTTGAAACTTTTTATTTTTTTTATTTGCTGATCCTTTCATAATTTTATCATCTGTCACTGCTCTGAATTTGTGCAGTGGGAAAATGATTACCTATTCTGTGATTACCATAACTTTCGAATGTTATTTTAGCCATAAAAACCCAGGAAATTCTACAATTTATTGGACCCATAGGAAGTGGGCCAAAAGGCGAATACAAAATATGTTTACAACACAATTACGAGAACAAACAAGTTGACACCCCCGCAAACAAAACAATTCAACAATTCTGCCGCATTTCAAAGCATTTCGGAAGGCAAATAAAAATCCTTGAGGTTAAAGCACACGCACACACACAGAGAGTGAGAGAGCAGATGGAAAGGTTTCCATCCTTCAGCTCAACTCGACTCGACTCAACTCATAAGCCATATAAATTTCCGGCTGTCGTCTTTTACCGCTTCGCATAAATTTGACACTTTTTGTTTTATTCTCGTTGTTTTTCTGTATTATGGCTTAGGGGAACCATTTTTTGTGTTTATGCACCGAACGAAAGCAGTTCTATGGAGTTCATTTTAAGGGTGATTTATGGTGTGATATGGCGGAAATAATATTTACCTTGACAAAATGGCGTTATTTTCAGTTTTTGTCAGAAGATTTGTTAAAATTATTTCTGGGTTAGCAAACACTTTTCTTTGATGTGCGATTTCGGCGAATTTCTCGTTTATTAAATATTCAAGAGTTCTTTAATCTTGCTAATCTTTGATTGTTATTTATTGTTCGTTATTTACGTTTCTTAAGAAACTTTCAGTAATATGTTTTACTATCATTTAATTTCTTCCACTTAACACCAACATCGAAGACAAGTTCTTCAGTCCATTTCGCGTTTGACTTCAGGCTTTTTCGTTTTATTTTCGGGAGCTAGGCTTTTGGACACGTTCGCAGCGCTTTGTTGACAGGCAACGACTGAAGCGGCCCAAGAAATTCACTGTCTAACATCGAATACGATGACGACGATGATGATGATGATGGCCCATTGAGTGGCTAAAAGGCAGCAGCCGAACAGCTGTTCCTCCGAAGTGGGACTCGTGCTGTATATCTACCTTTTCCTCGGCTACCGAAATGTTAAAATGATTCCGAAAATAAATTCCAGCTGCCTGTTAGGACTTAACATGGCCATGTGGGTGGTCTTGGGCCAACAGTTTACCTGTTTGCTTGGCCCTGTTAGCAAACAGTGCCTTAAATATGTATATATCCCTTCTGATTTAAAACTGAATGTCTGCTCCCCACTGCGTTTATTTCATGCCCATGATGTTTATATATTATTTAATATTAGTTTTTATGCTAATGGTTTTTTAATGTCCGCAATTCTGAACGTTTCATGTTCATTTCGTTATATGGTTTTCCATTCTGTGGTGCCTGCTTTTATGTCTGCTGCGCATTTGTTTATAAACAAACGGGAGCCGAGATCGAAAATAAATAAATACGGTGGCCAGGCCATAACAATCCAAACCAATTATCGGTAATAAGTCAGCCGTCGATTTATGAAAGTGTCAATGCAATTTTTTGTATTCTCTATTCGGGTTCTGTGACGTCAACGCTTTGAAATGCTCTCCCTGCATTTGTTTTCCAAATAAATAATCAGCCATAATCCATTTGGCGGCGTCTTTGTTTTCGTTTGTTTTTATTATTTAATCGTGGAATAAGGGGGTTCGCCTTGATACCTGAAAGTTATTACACCTTAAGTTTGATCGAATAAAAATTGAGCAATTATGGAGTTGATTTAAGTGTTTTACTGAGCAAGAAGGAGGAATAGTCTTAAATATTTATTATTGTTATTAAATTGGCCAAAAAAATATACAATTTGAATATCATTTTAATATTTTGATTCCAGAAAAGAAGTTCACAAAAACATACTTTAATAACATATAATATTAATATATATATTACTATATTCCACATACCCAGATTAGTCACCAATTCAATTTCTTTTTACGAATATATCGAAATTCTTTCTGTTCCATTCTTACTACATACATTTCCAAATAGTAGTTCTTAACTCTTTTAAAAATAAGCTGAAACACGTATACATTTGCAGGCATTGACTATCCGTTCAACACTATCTGCAAGGATAATCAATCATTGGCAATCCTTTCAGCTGAGTTTACTCTTAAATCCTGCTAATGTTATTAATTAACCACTGCGGTCATCTTGCTTGTCTGTATTTATTATTCTTTTTAAAAACAGCTTACGCAGTTTATTAATGCTGTTAATTTTTAAAGCCACTTTGTCTTTGGCTCCGACCATAAATTCCCGATTTATGCACGTTTTAAATGTTTTAACTGCAGAACACGGCGAATGCCGCAGCATCGGAAACTGCATTAAAAAATGGAGGATAGAGGCGATAAAATGGGGATGCCGGGAAATCCAATGCTGTTGACTGACTCGGATTGAATTGCTTGCTCTGTCGTTTTTCCCCTTTCTTATGCAAAGCTCGACGATATTGATACCCTGTGAAGTCTTTTAAGACTTTTATTGGATAAAAACAGAAATTATGCGGCGTAACTTTTATGAAGTAAGCCAGACAAATGTTAAATAAAATTATTTCTTAAGAAACTTCGAACCTTGAACTTATCGCTCTTACCAAAAGTTTGTTGTATAATAAATAGTTCATTTACTGTTGGAAAACTACCATTTATTGAGTTTAATATTACACAAATTTATCCTTGTAACTACGAAATATATTTCCGAAGGAGAAACAAGTTTCCAGGGTATCCCTTGTAGTCCATCGTTACCTGTTTGCTTTTCTTTTTATTTACATTATTTACAGCATAATAAACCGTGAGCTGTAAATGCTGTGCACGCTGTTTGTCTACGGTAGGCGAGCAAGGATCTCCGCAGGACATGCAATCTGCCATCCCCAGCTACCCTACCACGCCCACCTGCTCATCCAACGCCTTCTTGTGCAGCTTTCGAGTTTGTTTGGTGGCGAATACTCGGGAATCTCTTAATAAAAAGCAAATTAGCTGGAGCACATTAAATTGATGTGGCAGAAGGAGTTGGGGCAGAAGGACCCGCCCCTCAACCGAGGAGAAAATTAATATTTTCCTCTTCCACTTCCTCTCTGGCTGTCTCCGCCATTTGGCGTCAATTTAATGCCAGGCCATAAAATTTGAAAGGCTAAAAAATTTCCCAAGATCTGGCAAGGATTGTTCATATGAGCATGAAAATGCTGTCATAAATGTTGGCTTGCCTTCATCCCTTGTTCATTTTTTCCAGCGCGCTCTCCGTTTTTTACAGCCATTAGAGCTGGACAGTAAAAAGTTTTAATGTTGGTCAGCTGCCGAGGAGTGAACCGACAATTATGGGACCGGCTAATGGTATCTAAAATACCATTTAAGGACTATATTTGCCAGCCGGCGTTAAGGAAAGCAAGAATGTGGAAAATTAACCAATGATTTTGCGAGTGTTACAATTTTTCTTACATTTATCTTTAAGGGAAATGTTGTACACATCAATTTTATGAAAATTAATTAAAGACCTCGCATATGATTAACATTTTCAGCGTTGCCTGGGCGTCGAGTTCGACTTCCTTCCTGTAATTTATGTGTCAAATATAAACGTTCCCTCGGCACCTCGACTTTCCTCCTTCGGATTGTTTCCTTTTTGCAAATTTGCCTCGGTTCACATGCACGGGCTGGATGCAAATTAAAAGCAACGTATGCCATTGCTTTCACAACGCCTCTTTCTCTTAAATCCACCCTTTCTTTTCGTCCATTGTAAGTTTCTGCAAAATCATCCGTTTAAATGCGTTTTAAATGACTTCCGTTGCCTTATGAGCGATATTTTGGTGGGAAAATGACGCCTATGGGGCGATTATTTCCACGCAGATTTTAGCGGGTATGGGCGAATGCATTAACTATGCAAATTTGCAACCTTATTAAATGAATTTTAATTTATTATTATTTCGCTGGCAAAGCAAACAAAAAGTCCACAGCGAGTATAACATGTTAATTAACATATAATTGCCGCCCGTAATCAGCATTAAATGGGTTAAGTAAATGTTTAATGCCACATAATTGATTAATAAACCGAATGCGTTCGGGGAGTTGCTTTGACTCGCACAGAAAAAGCTTTTCTGCAAATATTTCTACCGATATTTGCTGAGCACTTGGCTGATTTCAAATACAAAATTGTGGTGGCAAAGAACTAAACTAAAATAAACTCCAGGGGAAGCAAGAAACTATGAACTAGGTGCGGGTTTTCACTGTTTTTGCATAGAAATAAAACAATGCTACCATAGGTGTTGAAGTTTCTTATTATTTTATTAAGCATTTAAGGAAACTTACTTTAAATTTAACTTATTCAAATCTGTAAATCTAGCCATATATCGCAAATCCTCATTTCGTATTCAGCCGTTTAAAGCATTTCGCTGAAGGCTTCTTTTGGCTGCCTTGCCTTACGATCACGGAATCTGTTAAAGAAATCACGTAATAGATTTGCATATTTATGGAACAAGAGCTAGCCCGAACAACCACCACGTGTGTGGATAATAAGAAGGAACTACTGACTAGATGGACTGAAGTACTCTCAGCTTGGTTGAGTGGCTTAATCGGCTGAGTATGTCCCCGGTATTAAGTCCAATGATTTTCAAGGAAAAGGATGTTAAACACGTATGGAGAAATTACTGAATAATATTAATTTTAAAAATAAAAAAAAAATTTTAATATTAAAAATACAAAAATCTTTAATAATTGTAAAACTGTGAACTGCGACAGTGTTTAATAATTTCAGAAAAATTTATATTTAACTTTAAAAAACTTGTTATTAACAATACGAATATATTTCCTACATTTTAAAGTGATAAGTGAATTTTAGAAGTTTAGACATAAAATCTGCACCTATTATATCCTTAAAATTGGCAATGCTTAATAGCTCTTAATCTCTAATTTTCTTATAGTTTTTAAAGGTTTCGTTTCTTAAAGCCCAAACAAGTTGAAGAACTGCTATACTTTGAAAGAAAAGAGTCAAGTTTCAAGCCTCAACCAAACACATAGCTCAATCTCACCCGAAACCCAATGCATTGACCCATATTTAAAGGGCAGTCGGGTCACACATTTTTCACTTGGTAGGATGGATGAGGAGGACTCGTCGAAAAGCGCGTCGATGTACAATTAACCCAATTGCGAAGTGTTGTCAACATGCCGCAAGTCAACTCAACTCGAGCATTCGCTGCGTATACGTAATGTGGATTGTGCCACCAACACTGTTGCCTTGCCGCCAGTCTGGCCTGGTAGTGTGCGGGTGAACGGGTGTGCTGTGTTTGCTCGTGTGTGGCATGTAATTGAGTGTGTGCGTGTTACATTTCCTGGTATTGTTCAGCAATTTCCGTTAGCACGGGTTTTGTTTGCTTTTCTTTTCGCCTCTATACAGGACTAAAGTGAGAAGAAGCTAGCGATGTAGTCCTACATTGGCCAGAAGCTAAACCCAAACTGCCTTGCCAACATATATGAAATGCATTCTGTTAATCGGTTGAACAAGATATTTTTGCAAAAAATGGTTTCGCCCAGTTTTGTTTTTCTTAATTTTACTTATTATTCGTAAAAATACTCCAAAACGACAGGTTTATTTTCTAATTTTAAAATAACAGAGAAGAGAAATATTACGCCAATCATATTTATATAAGCTCTCAGTTGCCTTAGTTCAATCTTTCCACTTCAGATGCTTTTTGATTTACATAACTGCAGAAATTGGAAATGTTGCGAGTGTTGCAACCTCAGCTCCAATTTGCAAATGCCACACTCTGGATGTTGTTGACATTTGCCCGCCGTTCGCTATATGGTTGAAGGCTTTGCCGACTGGGATGCTAAGGATTTCCACAGCATATGGCACGTTACCGGGGTCAACATGGCGTTAGCGCAATTTCCAAATTTTCCCTTTCAACCACAGCGCAGCTGCACGTGTCGGGGGCACCACTTTATGATTTGCGGCATCTTGAAATTGACTTGACCAGTGAGTCGGCAAAGTAAGTAGTAGATAGTTTCATGATTATCCCCACTTATCACATATTACACAGTTACTCGAAATAAATTCCTAATGTCTCTAATGAGGGCGAAGGGCACAATGGGGACATCGTCACGAGTCATTGGAAGTCAACTTGTTGATGGCAAGCAATTACAAACTTTTTCAAGTCGATTCTGTTGGTACTTTATTTCACTTTGATTCTTTGGCTAAAGGAAGAGGTTCCACTTGAGCAGCGCTGTTAAACTGAAAGTTATGAAATTTTTTAGTTAACTTTAGTTTAAATTGCCGGCCATTAAGAGAGTTAAGTTAAAACTTTTTTAATAAACACACTAGGAGAGGAGTTTAATCAATTCCACTTGAATTTGTGTAAATAATATTTTTGAATTGCTAGAAAACTGCCCACAAAATACATTTTCAAAGTAAGCTTTTAGTTTTTCAAAGAAAGTTTGGGAATTTATGAACAAAATTTGGAACATATTTTATAATTTACCTTTACTTAGCAACAGAATAAATTGGATTAACCCTCTTAAAAGCTACTCTTAAACATTTCTATCAATGTAACCCCCGCCATGACAGGCTGCATCCATTATTCAGTCTATGATTACTTAAACGGATTGTTCCTTTGCCACATAATCATCGTTGTGGTCCCTGCTCCTCCACATTCTTCCGGCATATTTCATTCGTGTCAATATATCCCATTTCTCTTCTCTTCTGCTTCCCTGATCCTTGGAACTCCCTGGTGGGGGACTCCATTGAGCATTGACACATGGCCCATGGTTGCCATAAGTCCGGTACCGAGTGCACTTTCTCCTAATGGCTTCAACTGCATTTTCCCAGATGATAAATGGTCAGGGCGATATCTTAGATGGTTCTCTAGCTGCTCCCAGGACTTGCCCTACTGCAGTGTTATTTATGTGGTCGAAAATTCGTTTCAGATGCAGTACCCAATATAGCACTCCAGTTCCGAAGGATAAAGGCAGAAATGCAATGACCTGTTTCCACCCACCCAAAATAAAAACTTGTTTAAATTTGATTCGCGTAACTTTTACATCCATCGCTCTGTCGACCGCCTAATTTCAATCGCCCAACGCCGACCATCATTTAATTTATATGCTTGGCCGACTCCTTTTGACGTGGCAACGTGGCGTGAACAAAAAAACACAAAATACAGCGAATTCCCTCTGACTCCGATGGGGAAAAGCCACGCAACCGCAGGTTTTCCCCCATCCATGTTGCCATCATCATCATCCTCTCACATGCCAGGAATTTGTTTACCCGGCCTCATTCGCAGCCTAAACTTTTCTGATAAGCAATGTAGTTACTCTTTCTTGCAAAGGCAAATAATGATTTAATATAACAAAAAAATATAGACAACCGACTTATGTACTATATATAATATTCCAACACCAAATTTGGGGACCACTCTATCTCAATTTAAAATCATTGCCCTATTTCAGCTTGGAAATATATTAAGTCACTTTTAAAAATATAAATAAATTACATAAAAAATATTAATGTTAATGTTAAAACTATAAAATTTGTATGTTAGAAATTCATTACAAATACCTTATCATTTTATAATTGTAGGGCATCCCATCATCAGTGCTTTAAACTCAGTTCGCGTTCCTTAAGGGCTTTCTATTTTACTTTTTGGCGGGCACTCGAATTCGTATTTGTTAAATTGAAAAGCGTTGCGATGGCGACCGCTGAAAAGGCAAAAAAGCAATCCAACTGCCCTCCAATAGCTCCGTCCCCCATTTCCACTGCCCCTTCGTGCCCATTTTTCAACCACCACCCATCGGCTAAAAAACTCTCAAAGTAATTGATGTAAACGCAGATGAAGGGTTGCCCCAAAACATTTCCGCATTGGTTTTTCTGTAGTATTTACTCCCTATTCCCAAATCTATGGATCGTCGTTTCGCTGTTGATATATCCTCCAAAAAGGCATGATAAAAGCGAGTGCAGACAGTCTGGTGGTCGCAGTTGGTTCCTTCCTTGAAATAAGTCCAATGGGTTTTGGTACAAGCTTTTATTTTAGTTTCTGCCTGTGCACAGTCGATGTTCCACTCAATCCTTGACAATTTCTAAGTTGAACTTCAGTTTCGGTGCCATGGAAGTCCAGGTGTGTCTGTGTTCTTAAGCACTCGTTTCTATGATTACAAATCGGTTGACCGGGCAAAAATGAATGGCTAGGAACTGGGCATGGCCTGTTAGTAAGCTACACGTGCAAGGGGTTTCAGCTGTGCGTTTATGGGAGGTCATAAGATCACAAACTTAGGAAGAGGAGTAAAGTACTGAAATTTACAAAATTTAAGTTCAAAAAAAGTTATATGGATTTACTAAGACATTTTCTTAACACATACAAATTTTACCTTCAACTTTATATTCGATATATTAATTTTAATGAAACCCTCAACAAATTGTAAAAACTCTTAAAAAAGTAGCAACAAACTCTCTCACTCTCTCTCCTACACCGCTTCAATCCATCTCTTTTTCATCCCTCTTGCTGTCTTTTTCGTTGGAGCTGCCCCGAATCGCATCGAATTTTTATGGTCGCACTTAAGTGCAAATAATGCCAAGGTAAAACAAAAGAAACGACAGACGGAGAGGCGAGCACAAAGACAGAAGAGGAGAGGAAATGAGGCTGAAGTGCAGAGTGGCAAACACTTAGAGAGTGAGGGGAGAAACGCCGGAGCTATTGGCATCATTTGATTGCATTTATTGGCCACTTGTCCACTAGCAACTTTACAAACGCAATTCAGATCATTTTTCACAATTGGCCCTCTGAATATTCATTGCTCTTATTAAATTTCATTTGCCAGGCAGTGTCTATAAATTACTTAAAAAAGGGAAAAAGCCGTTTTATTGGCATATATTCATCTTTAATTGATATACGCTCATGAATTCGAAATATAACTGTGGAAGAATAAAACAAATTTTACTGTTGTTAGACCTATAACACAAATCAAGTTCAAATGTTCTTTCAATTTAAATTACAACTTCCAGAAAATGCAATAAAATAAAGCCAGCACAACACAAATTATTTTCCAATTCAATTTGCATCCGATTACTCTGTGTTTTATTTTTAACTACCACCCATTTACTTATAACTGAAAACAAGAACATTTGATTGATTTGCTAATCACAAATGATATATCGACTGATGGGGTTAGAGATTTTAAAATACTGTAAAAAACTGCCAAGATGCATCCCGCTCAATATCAAAATGTTTCGAATATAGAAAAGCTGTTCAGTTTTTGGATTATTTTTAGTTCGCTTGTTCAGCGAGTGGCGCGTGGAATTCCATTTCTATTTACTCAGCACATTCGGCACGCATAACCAATTTGATTCATTTTTAATGTAGCTTTAAATAAATACCACAATTCAGAAGTGAGCAGTAAATCTTTCTTTTCTTTTGAAGTTATTTATGATTTGTTGGCAAAAACATTTAAATTATTTGCCAAGCATTTAAACATTTTATTATTTGCCAAGAGATGTCTTCCATAAATAAAACAAACAAGCTGAAATGACTTATGATGAATGTTTAAAATTAAAAGTTTGCTAAGAATTCGTTTTAAACCAAATATAAACTTGCTGATAGGATTAATTGCTGCTATCATTTGAACCACAGCTTGAATCAATCAAGCTCTGACTACTTAGCCAACCTTAATGACACTCCATTACTTTGGGCTTCTCCTGCCATAAAAAGATTAGCGTAATTAATTCGTAGCTAGGACCACCATTGGAGTCAAGTAATTTGTGTCCTTAGCTAAATGCTTTCCAGTCTGCCTCCTTTTTTGGAAATCGCCTTGCCGACACATGTTCACATTATGAATTACACTGAACTGAGCCGAAATAGATCCCCAACAGAAATATTCACGTAAGCGGGGCTCATCCATCATCATCATCGGGATGGCAGGGTGCAAAAGTGTTGCCTACTTTTGGGATTCGGCAATGACTGCCTGACTGACACTTCTTTGGAACACTCTCCACCTGGTGGGATCCCATTTACACCTGAGCCACCTGTCACTCAGGGTATTCCCCTGATCTCTGACCACGCGTGCGTGATATACGAGTTTGTTTTCCACTTTGTGCAAACTATGCTAACCGCGAAGTTGTAACACTGGAAAAGATTATTGTGTTAACTTAATTTATAATTTTCAGAGAAAAATTAATTGAGGATTCTCAAACCTAGGAATGACGAAAGAGTTTTTATATATTACCCTAAATTTATTTACAATATTATCTAATGGCAATGAACAATATTTATCTTTTATTTTATTTCACTGTAATTAATCTTTGAGCATCATCAGACTAATTCTAGACCAAAAAGAGCATATTTTGTGTGCTCGTCTTTTGTCAACACAAATGTAAGAAGTAGCTCCAGCTTTTATAAGTACCAATTTTCGTGACGAGTAAATGTGTTTTCCCCACACTTAATACAACTATCTGTACAATTTTCAAAAAACCCCATGGATATCTGAAACTTCTCTTTAATGAAAACCTGCGCACGCCTCTGTATAAATGTATACGTTTTATTCTTTGTCAGAACGAGGCACAAATTAATCGCTCTCCATTAACTTTGATTTATGATGCTCGCTTGAGTTTCTCTCATCTGGGATATTAGGGCAGGGAGAGGGAAAAGAAACTGGGCGTGGTTGGTATTTACTTACAGTTCGCCATATTTTGTACATATTATTTATAGTTTTGTTACCACTTCGCCAACCCGCTGTCCCAGAAACTGATATGTTTCGTGGGTAACAAATGTTTCTCGGGGTTAATAGAGGGTCAAAGCGTTTTGTTTGTTTCTGAATGGGTGTGGTTCTTATAGGAAAATATAGAACGAACTAAGTATAGAAATATCTTTAGTTAAATTCCACTTGTTAAATATAAATATTATATCGACATTCATTTTAAATTTTACCCGTAATATGCAGGCCTAGCAATCTTTTCAACTTTACCTTTTTACGTACCTTTTAATAACATGCAAAGCCAAATATGTATTCAGTTAATTACAATCAGGAATGTTGACAATTTCACTTTCGTTTCACATTTTTTTTAGATTTTCTTTTATTAGGGAAATTGTGAACATTTTTTCCTAGCACACGCTGTCACAGCTTCTAAGAATTAAAAGAATTTATGCGAATTTATACATTCTGCCCTGTTTTGCCTCCCCTCCTACGCTCGACGTTAATTTGATTTAGACACATTGCTGAACGAACCTTTTCTCTCTGGCCAAGAAAATGGCGCTGTGGCATCGCTTAACTCATTAAATTTAATTTCATTTGATGCACACACCAGGGCGAGGAAAAGGGGTAAGCCCGGGTATTTAGTAAACAAAGTCAGCGCC